TAACTAATAATCTCTAATGTTGTTGTTACTGAAAACCTTGACTAAGCATCCGTAGTGACGCTTATACTGCTCTCCTCTAGCTGGCTGCCCTCGAACTCGCTGCTCACTAAGTGCTCTTCTAGCTCCTCTAGTTCTTCAAACTGGTGAGTGAGATGGGGTCAGTCTACGCCCTTACGCTTTAATAATTCTAATACTTGAGTACTTTACTTAAACACTTGACTTAAATTGGTGGAAGTTGTTTGTACTTCCACTCTTAAAATCTTAACTCTTAAACTTTGAGGGAGTTGAAGTTACTCTACTCTCTTAAAGCTCAAATCTTGACTTAAATGCTTGACTGACACAGGGATCCCTCACTAGTTAGTCTGGTTGCCAACTCATACGTATGAGAAGCCATCCTGGCTTTCCTTAAACTTAAACTTAGATAGGGGAGTCATAACGATTCATCCCCCTAACATCTTAAACTTATCGTGGTGGCTCTTCACCACGATTCTCAAGAGCATAACTGCTTCCCATCTGAAAAGTCTCAAGATTCCACCTTAAAAATTGACTGAAATATCTCGATGGACTTCCTATGGATCGGTTGTTCTTTACTTGGTGGTCAACCTAATGCTTTCTTGTTGACTGTTGTACTCCTGCTTCCGCCCGTCTTAACTATCTTCCTGGACGCATACATCGCCAGGTTGATGCCAACCATTTTTTTTTCTATAACTTCTCATGGTGTTCTTCTTGCTTCTTTACCTTTACTACCACCAAACTACAACTCTTCTATTGTTGCTTGTACTATATTTGGTAACCAACCTCTGTTGAGTATCTTCTCGTTGTTGTCTTAAGTCACAACTTCCAATGGTGGCTTGCCCTTGGTAACCCTTAACATAACTCATTCCATGTCTCTTGTCTCGACCGATGCTTGTACATAGCCTTAATCTCTTAGTCATGGCTCTTAGTGGCTTAACTAAATGTCACTAATTTATCCTTAACTGGCCTTCTTTTATGGATGACATCCTACTATATTGTACTCGCTCAGAGTGGGGCACCTTGGGTAAGGTAACTTAATGATTTCCTCCTTCTTGGTAATGCTTTTCCTCATCGTACTCCACTATGCATTTTCTTGAACACGAGTCACCTACACATATTCTCAATCCTTCATCGGAACTTCCATGTGTTTCCTAGAATTCTCTGCCATTCACTAGAACATTTATTGAACATTCCACATACTTGTCTATACTCGGTTGGCTTAATGACTTACTCTATAGCTGGTTCCAAGACCTCAGCTCTTAGTCCTCTAGTTCCAACTTAGTAGAGAGGTTCCTCCTTCTGCCACCCCTCATGTACCCTAGGAGGCTAGGTGTTCCCTCTATTTAAGAGAGGACAATCCCATAACAGATCATCGTGAACTCTTGCATACCCCTTCCAACGATCCCAACATCCTCTTGACCCTTTTGTGATCTGGGTAGTTTCTAGGGTCTCTAATATCCTCTTTCTAACTCGGTGTTATCTTGGTATCCAACTCACGCACTGCTGAGAAGTGGTTCTCTATTCGTACTGCCATTTACTAGCTAACTGTTATTCCCTCTAACATTCCCTGCCTTTCGTTATGTATTGACTCCCCACTGTCTTCTACCAGGCATGCTTTAGACTTTGGTGGCCCTTTCCTCCATGTCTCGTCCAATGGTGGTCGTACTGAGACCATAACTTGTCCTCTACATCATGTACCTTGTTTCTTGTCTTGTTCCTTCTAACGGCTTGTCATCGGCCTAACTCCCAGTGTGATGTACCGTCTTCTCTAGTGACGTACTTTATCTATAAGGGTTCCTTTGTCGTCATATGAATATGACCATGCCTCCTCTCCCCCTTGACCTGTTGACTTCTTGACGTCCTTTAACACCCTCTAACCTACTTACCTCCTCCTTTACTTCATTTATACTACCCTAGCTTCTCTTGAAGTCTAAGCTTTCCACTGCTCCTTGCCACTGTGTTGTAATAGCGTTGACCACTAAAACTAGTTGAGGTACTTCTCGTGGTACCTCTTCGTTTCTTGACTCGCCACTGCTTAGGGTCAAGGACCCTGAAATTCTTCCATCATTTTATCTGTTGACATCTAGTGCTTGTAGCTCTTTCTTCGGAGGTTCATAGCTCTCCTATTTGTTTATCTTAACCTATTAGATCGTTTGCTAGTGGCTAATTAGAAAAATCCTCGTAGTGCTCCTCCAACTCCTTCAAATCCTTGTAGTTATACCTCGGAATATCCCATTGCGATGGATGCGCCTTTTATTAGGACTAAAGTTATTTATCTTAATACGATTAGAGTAGACTGGAGATTCTATAGACTCTTAAAATAAGATCCTTGACTCATTTTTGCTTCCTTTAAAACAAAAGCCTTTAAAACTAAGAACGATGTTCCAGTATTCCATGGAAACCAAGGAACGGAGGAAGACCGGCTCTGATACCAAAATGAAACACCCTAACCCGGCCAGGTACTACTTTTACTAAAATGCCCTTGATAAATAAAATACTCAAATCTTAAAGTGCAGCTGGAATAATTTTACTAAATAAATACTGAAAACACGCACTTGTAGTTCAAAGCAACACCCTAACACATGGGCAAACTCAATACTTAAAATCTCAAATGATCTCCAGTCTATACTCATAATCATAAATGTAAATAACTAATAATCTCTAATGTTGTTGTTACTGAAAACCTTGACTAAGCATCTGTAGTGACGCTTATACTGCTCTCCTCTAGCTGGCTGCCCTCGAACTCGCTGCTCACTAAGTGCTCCTCTAGCTCCTCTAGTTCTTCAAACTGGCGAGTGAGATGGGGTCAGTCTACGCCCTTACGCTTTAATAATTCTAATACTTGAGTACTTTACTTAAACACTTAACTGAAATTGGTGGAAGTTGTTTGTACTTCCACTCTTAAAATCTTAACTCTTAAACTTTGAGGGAGTTGAAGTTACTCTCCTCTTTTAAAGCTCAAATCTTGACTTAAATACTTGACTGACACGAGGATCCCTCACTAGCTAGTCTGGTTGCCAACTCATACGTATGAGAAGCCATCCAGGCTTTCCTTAAACTTAAACTTAGTTAGGGGAGTCGTAACGATTCATCCCCCTAACATCTTAAACTTATCGTGGTGGCTCTTCACCACGATTCTCAAGAGCATAACTGCTGCTCTATCTCAAAATGTCTCAAAAGGAAACCGACTGGCGCTAGTGACTAAAAGCACTTAAAATGACTTCACCTTCTTGAAAGTGACTTACTTCTTTAAAAGAACTTGTTTCTTAAACTTTAACAATAACTTATACTCGTAAAATTTCAAAGTAAATAATTATAAACATTCACTTCAAGTCATAATTCAAACAAGTCACATATCACCAACCAAACACGTAAACAATCATATCACCCACTTCACAAAATACTTAAAATGCATAAGATAAATACTTGAAAATACGTAAGACATAGAATTTACCCCTTTACACTCACCTGTTAGACTAAGTTGTTGGTTACTTTGATTGATCTCGAAAAGATCAATTGATGCGGCCACTTCTGAGTTCTAATGGCTGACCCCTTCTTCAGGTTTCCAACGCGTAGCCAAATCCTCTAAGCTCCTTTATCCTCCATGCATACTCTAGCTAACCTGAGCCTTTTGTCTCTTATACTGCCGAACTCCCTCTCTATATATATTGCTACTGCATGATTTTCATGGTATGAAAACCACCAACCAATTAACAATGAATGTCCACGTAGCAATCAACCCCACCATCACATGAGCTCTAATCCAATTCATTGCCACCAGCGGACAAATTATCCAAACCAGCACCAATCCCCAAGTAGCCCTCTGTAACAACCCAGCTGGGTGATGACGTGTGAGGATAGTCAAGTATAAATAGCTACTACTATTAGGAGAAGGTCATCTTTTGACAAATTGTGTAAAGCATAAACAGTTAGTTACTTTCCTTTCAACGCTTTAGCTGTAGTTCTATAGAAGCCAGAACTCTCTTCTTCATTCCATCTCTGTAAATCCTCCATTTCCCCATTGTTCTTTCTCTTTCGCCAGATTTATCAATAAAGATCCTTACAAGTGGTATCAGAGCCTGCAATCTGGCAATGGCTACCAACACCACACGAATCCTTGTTTTGGAAACTCAAATGGCGGCCATCAAGCAGCAGATGGACTCACGTCACCGGGATCTGAAGACAACCATTGCTGATCTTGCGGCTTCGACGAAGGCCTCCATCGACGCTCTTACTGCTTCGTTGGAGCATCGGCGGGACGGTTCCCCGGTTCCTTCTCCACCGAGCACGGCAACGGGAACTCTGGGCCAGATTCCTTCTCCCGCTTTCCATTATGCTTTTCCCACGTCTCCGGCCACATCACCCTCACCACAGCAGAGTACCGGCGATAATCAATATCGCGCATTCAACCATCCACCACCACGACGGCCTTCCTTCTTCGTCTCCGAGCAAATTGGATCGATGGCGGATTATCAGGTTCTTTCTCCTTTGTCTTCACTGGCGATGGGAACCCTAATTCCTTCGTCATGTCCTTCTTCTATGCAAATTTTTTGCCCAATTTCTTCTTTCCTAACCCCATATTCGAGCTCCTCGGTCTTTCTTGAATCTCCCCCTTCGCCTCTGAATTCAGCTGCAATCCCTAATTCTTCTAGTCCGCTGCCTTCTGTTTCATCAGTTCATGTATACCCAATACAGTCGTTTGCTGCTTCTCCTGTTGGTTCATCAACTTCGAAGCCTTCATTTCCATCTCGTCCTTCCTCTGCTCCTAATCACGAGGCAGTCTTCATGGATACAAAGATTCACGCCCCTAACTCGTTTCCTTCATCTTCTTTTCTACCTTCACCACCCCAAAGACCTCCTACTCATTCTGCTGGAACCCATTTGTTACCCAAACTCCATACTACAGATTACTTAAATGAGGATCCTATTTCCATATGTGCTCCGAAGAATGAATCTTTCGTTTCAAGCGTGGCTGGGATTATAGCTGGCAATCTTGGTATTGGCATTTTTTGTCTTGCACGGTTTTCTTCTGGATTTCCGGTTGCCGCATCCAATTGAGTGACTTTAAATGGCATTACGGGGTTCAACTCTGTCATGGTTATTGTGGGACTTGTGTGGTTTCTACAGGGAGGGGAAATTGTCCTTGTTTCAAGGAGCCATATAAGGACTATTGCTATGCTTACACACCTCCTGTTAAGAAACCAGAACGGCCTAAGCCTTATCTGGGCTTGAAGTTTTTTCCTATTGGCGAAATGTATCGGAGGAGAGGATTTAAGATTCTAGGTGGAATCCTTCTTTGCGGGTCCCCTGGTGTTGGGAAGACCCAGCTAGCTAAAGTTGTGGCTGGCGAGGCAGCCGTCACTTTCTTCTCCACTTCTGGTTCTCAAGTTGTGGAAATATGTGTTGGGGTTGGCGCTTCTCGTGTTCGATCACTTAACCAAGAAGCAAGGGAAAATGCTCCATCATTGGTCTTCACTGAGGAACTGAATGTTGTTGGAAGAGAACGTGGTCTGATTAATGGTTCTGGTGGGCAAAAACGTGATGCTACTCTGCACCAGCTCCTAGTATGCCTGGAAGGATTTGAAGGGCGAGGTGAAGTGATCACCATTGCTTCCACAAATAGACAAGATATTCTAGATCCAGCACTTGTGCACCCCGGTCGGTTTGACAGGAAAATCTACATCCCTAGACCTGGTCTCATAGGTTGCATGGAAATCCTTAAGGTTCATGCTAGTAATAAGCCTATGGCGGAGGATGTGGACTACATGGCTGTAGCTAGTATGACTGATGGGATGGTCGGTGTTGAGCTTGCAAACATAATTGAAGTTGCAGCCATTAACATGATGCGTGATGGCAGAAATGAGATTACCACTGATGACTTTTTACAAGCTGCACAAATAGAAGAGAGAGGTTGGAAGAAAGTAGCTATCAATGAAGCTGCCATGGCTGTTGTGGCCTTGAACTTTCTAGATTTCAGGGATATCGAATTCGTAACAATATCTCCCCGAGCTGGATTGGCTGGATTGATTAACACTTGCAGAATGGTGTTACAACACCCGTTATCATGTCAGTTCGCAGCAGTGAAGTTAGTTGTTGAAAGAGTGGATCATACCGAGAAACCATTGGATGCCTTGTGGAATTGTGTTCTAATTTGTCTATGTTACTCTTGGGTTGTGCTTATTCGAATTGCAGTTGTGTTCAAAGCTGCGGACTTGGTTGAGATGTTCTGTCCAAATCTTCCACTACCTGAAGGCTGGAACCCACAAGGGAACTGCTGTTCAACTCCTAGAACCACGACTACTGTCCAACTTCCAACTACTGGCCAGCTGCCTGTATTTGATGCCAGTGGTTCCTTGAAGCTGGCACCACAACAGATTCTGGCTAAGCGATTTGTGAACAAGGGAAACCAGGCTGGGATGCAAGTTCTTTTGCAGTGGACGCTTCAGCTACCAGCGGAAGCTACTTGGGAAGCCTTGCTCTCTTTCAAGGCGCAACATCCTACTTTCCATCTTGCACACAGCTTGAGGACAAGCTGCCTCTGAAGGGGGAGGGTTTGTAACAACCCAGCTGGGTGATGACGTGTGAGGATAGTCAAGTATAAATAGCTACTACTATTAGGAGAAGGTCATCTTTTGACAAATTGTGTAAAGCATAAACAGTTAGTTACTTTCCTTTCAACGCTTTAGCTGTAGTTCTATAGAAGCCAGAACTCTCTTCTTCATTCCATCTCTGTAAATCCTCCATTTCCCCATTGTTCTTTCTCTTTCGCCAGATTTATCAATAAAGATCCTTACAAGTGGTATCAGAGCCTGCAATCTGGCAATGGCTACCAACACCACACGAATCCTTGTTTTGGAAACTCAAATGGCGGCCATCAAGCAGCAGATGGACTCACGTCACCGGGATCTGAAGACCGCCATTGCTGATCTTGCGGCTTCGACGAAGGCCTCCATCGACGCTCTTACTGCTTCGTTGGAGCATCGGCGGGACGGTTCCCCGGTTCCTTCTCCACCGAGCACGGCAACGGGAACTCTGGGCCAGATTCCTTCTCCTACTTTCCATTATGCTTTTCCCACGTCTCCGGCCACATCACCCTCACCACAGCAGAGTACCGGCGACAATCAATATCGCGCCTTCAACCATCCACCACCACGACGGCCTTCCTTCTTCGTCTCCGAGCAAATTGGATCGATGGCGGATTATCAGGTTCTTTCTCCTTAGTCTTCACTGGCGATGGGAACCCTAATTCCTTCGTCATGTCCTTCTTCTATGCAAATTTTTTGCCCAATTTCTTCTTCCCTAACCCCATATTCGAGCTCCTCGGTCTTTCTTGAATCTCCCCCTTCGCCTCTGAATTCAGCTGCAATCCCTAATTCTTCTAGTCCGCTGCCTTCTGTTTCATCAGTTCATGTATACCCAATACAGTCGTTTGCTGCTTCTCCTGTTGGTTCATCAACTTCGAAGCCTTCATTTCCATCTCGTCCTTCCTGTGCTCCTAATCACGAGGCAGTCTTCATGGATACAAAGATTCACGCCCCTAACTCGTTTCCTTCATCTTCTTTTCTACCTTCACCACCCCAAAGACCTCCTACTCATTCTGCTGGAACCCATTTGTTACCCAAACTCCATACTACAGATTACTTAAATGAGGATCCTATTTCCATATGTGCTCCGAAGAATGAATCTTTCGTTTCAAGCGTGGCTGGGATTATAGCTGGCAATCTTGGTATTGGCATTTTTTGTCTTGCACGGTTTTCTTCTGGATTTCCGGGTTGCCGCATCCAATTGAGTGACTTTAAATGGCATTACGGGGTTCAACTCTGTCATGGTTATTGTGGGACTTGTGTGGTTTCTACAGGGAGGGGAAATTGTCCTTGTTTCAAGGAGCCATATAAGGACTATTGCTATGCTTACACACCTCCTGTTAAGAAACCAGAACGGCCTAAGCCTTATCTGGGCTTGAAGTTTTTTCCTATTGGCGAAATGTATCGGAGGAGAGGATTTAAGATTCTAGGTGGAATCCTTCTTTGCGGGTCCCCTGGTGTTGGGAAGACCCATCTAGCTAAAGTTGTGGCTGGCGAGGCAGCCGTCACTTTCTTCTCCACTTCTGGTTCTCAAGTTGTGGAAATATGTGTTGGGGTTGGCGCTTCTCGTGTTCGATCACTTAACCAAGAAGCAAGGGAAAATGCTCCATCATTGGTCTTCACTGAGGAACTGAATGTTGTTGGAAGAGAACGTGGTCTGATTAATGGTTCTGGTGGGCAAAAACGTGATGCTACTCTGCACCAGCTCCTAGTATGCCTGGAAGGATTTGAAGGGCGAGGTGAAGTGATCACCATTGCTTCCACAAATAGACAAGATATTCTAGATCCAGCACTTGTGCACCCCGGTCGGTTTGACAGGAAAATCTACATCCCTAGACCTGGTCTCATAGGTTGCATGGAAATCCTTAAGGTTCATGCTAGTAATAAGCCTATGGCGGAGGATGTGGACTACATGGCTGTAGCTAGTATGACTGATGGGATGGTCGGTGTTGAGCTTGCAAACATAATTGAAGTTGCAGCCATTAACATGATGCGTGATGGCAGAAATGAGATTACCACTGATGACTTTTTACAAGCTGCACAAATAGAAGAGAGAGGTTGGAAGAAAGTAGCTATCAATGAAGCTGCCATGGCTGTTGTGGCCTTGAACTTTCTAGATTTCAGGGATATCGAATTCGTAACAATATCTCCCCGAGCTGGATTGGCTGGATTGATTAACACTTGCAGAATGGTGTTACAACACCCGTTATCATGTCAGTTCGCAGCAGTGAAGTTAGTTGTTGAAAGAGTGGATCATACCGAGAAACCATTGGATGCCTTGTGGAATTGTGTTCTAATTTGTCTATGTTACTCTTGGGTTGTGCTTATTCGAATTGCAGTTGTGTTCAAAGCTGCGGACTTGGTTGAGATGTTCTGTCCAAATCTTCCACTACCTGAAGGCTGGAACCCACAAGGGAACTGCTGTTCAACTCCTAGAACCACGACTACTGTCCAACTTCCAACTACTGGCCAGCTGCCTGTATTTGATGCCAGTGGTTCCTTGAAGCTGGCACCACAACAGATTCTGGCTAAGCGATTTGTGAACAAGGGAAACCAGGCTGGGATGCAAGTTCTTTTGCAGTGGACGCTTCAGCTACCAGCGGAAGCTACTTGGGAAGCCTTGCTCTCTTTCAAGGCGCAACATCCTACTTTCCATCTTGCACACAGCTTGAGGACAAGCTGCCTCTGAAGGGGGAGGGTTTGTAACAACCCAGCTGGGTGATGACGTGTGAGGATAGTCAAGTATAAATAGCTACTACTATTAGGAGAAGGTCATCTTTTGACAAATTGTGTAAAGCATAAACAGTTAGTTACTTTCCTTTCAACGCTTTAGCTGTAGTTCTATAGAAGCCAGAACTCTCTTCTTCATTCCATCTCTGTAAATCCTCCATTTCCCCATTGTCTGTAGTTCTTTAGCTGTAGTTTCAAGCACCCATGAGCAGTAGCTTTAAGAAGAGATAATGACCATTGACAACATGTCCCAAACCTGCAGGTGCCCTGAGTAGTGAATCCCAACAAAGGCCGCTGCTTGCCTAATATGAATCTATAGAAAAACATGTATTCTCTCCAATTTGCTAACAATGACAAGTAGCTGCAGCAAGTTGCACACCAACAAAACAACACAACCACACCTGCTACCAACCTGTCCATAGTCTGTGAAAGATCCAAAGACAACCTTAGTATTCGCAGATGTTCCAGAAGCAATATTTGTAAGCGCCCAAGCTGCTTCAAACTGAAGCTGGAGAAAGTCCTCTCTCATTAGAAACTCGACAAATCGTGGCACAACTCCAGCTTGTATGACTTCCACAATCAGAGGGCTCCGCTCAATCGAGAGCAACTTTCTGAACTGTGTTGTTGCCTCGAGCTGCATATTGCCATCATCAGACCAAACACCAGACACCATAGAAGGCAGATGCTCCAACTGTTCAGATTGTGTCGCCAAGCTCTTAATCAAACCCAGAAGCCGTGTGAACGCCAATGCTTCGTGAAGCCAAGCTGTGTAGGGTCCTTGCAAGCTAAGAACAGGGCCTCTCCACTTAGAATAAACCCAAGAGTAACACAAACAGATTTCAACACCAAAATATAAGACCTCCCATGAGTTCACAGTGACATCCCAAGGTCGAGACATAAAAGCGATTGATCGATAATCACAGTCCTTATAAGGGCCTTTGAAATCAGGAGGATTCCAACTTCCATGGAAATGCTGAAAGATGCCATAGTAAGTTGGGAAGACACGAAACTCAGAACCCCAACTGGCATTGCTGGACTCGATAGGGCAAGGAAAGAACCGGAAAACAAACTTAGTAGGACAAGGATCACCAAAAATGAAAGCTGCCTCTTCAACAGTAAGAATCCGATCAATGGCTACGGCAGAAATCAGCTTCTGGTTATGAGTATCAGTGAGATTGAGAACCCCTAAGAAAGAAGCGTTATGTGGAAAGTCTAGGGTGCGAAACCCTGAAGGAGAAGAGACTGGGTTTAAGCATGGAGCTGGCCCCAGTAAAGGAAACGAGGAAGAAGTGGCTTGAGTATGAACCTGGGAGTCTCCCACAAACCCAGTTTGCTCGGAAATCAACGAAGGGAGGAACGACGGCTGCTGAAGCTGATTGCACGCCGCCACGACAGTCATCTGCTCTTGACTCCCAAACCGGAGAAGCAACCCATCGACAAAATCACCCCAAAGCAAAGGAAAACGTCGGAAAGACCAGCCTTCAAACCATGTGTGAGCTCGCCCTTCCAAATAGGACGAAATCAAATCGACCTTCTGATCTTCTGGAATTGAGTAAAGCAGGAAGAGTTCGTTACATTCGCTCACCCACACATGAGGATCCGAACCAGAGAAATAGGGCAACTCAAGACGATGATAGGGATCCACAATTGACGTCCGACGCGACTGATGCCGAAACTGTTGATGATCAGGGCGATGATCGTAATTGTTATGCGGCGGTGAGTGAATCGGTGACGTCGCCTGAGTTCGCGTCAAAGAAGCAGTGAAGGTGGGCGAGTCCGATTGCCCGGCGAAGGTGGAAGAAGGCACCCGCTCATGATGATCCAGAATCAACGATCGACGCGGTGGCGGACACAACTGCTGTGGCTCGGCAAACCGAGTGCAACTCGCTTGCCATGGAGAACGGACCGGAGAATTGTCCCGCCGGCTCTCCAACGAAGCAGTCAGGGCGTCGATGTTGGCCTTCGTCGAAGCCGCAAGAGCAGCAATGGTGCTCATCAGATCCTGGTGCCGGGAGTCCATCTGTTGCTTGATGGCCGCCATTTGAGTTTCCAAAACAATGATTCTCGACGCCATTGTTGCCAGATGACAGGCTCTGATTACCACTTGTAAGGACCTTTATCAATGGATTCTGGCGAATTAGGGATTTGGAGGGAAGCAGACGAAGAAGATGAAAGGGAAAGGAGAGCTATTCTGTTATTACTATCTACTAGTTTGGTAAAGTGACTACTGAGATACAGATTGGTCAAAAGATACCCTTCTCTTAACAAGAGTAGCTATTTATACTAGCCTATCTATACACGTCATCCGCTCGGGTTGTTACACCCTCTGGAGGCGGTAACGAAAGCATCGAGCCATCTGAATCTCTCTTTCCTTCGACAAGAAGAAAAAAAACCCCAGATAAAGGAGACGCAACACGCAAGTCGCCACCCGAATCGAAGATTCCGCGCCTTTATTCTTCCTATCGGATCCCGACACCGGCCAAAAATCCCCAACCGCAAGACTACGGAAACCCTATAAATTTTCGTTCGCCCGAAACTTCGACTAATAATAGGCTTGCGGCTGTGGGAGAGAGGATGAGAAAGGGGTGGGGGTTTTAAGGCTAATTTATAGTTTAATTAGCCCAATGGAGTATTTTTGGAATTTCACAATTACAAGAGTGAGTTTAATCCGAAACTCAATTAACGTCCCTAATTTTCTCACTTCATGTCGAAACTCGACACCGTTTTAACTATTAGTTCACATATTTAATCATCATCGATAATACGGTGGAACTTGACCCAAGGGTATAATAGTCATTTTGACTTTTGGGAAGAGCGGGGTGTAACACCTTCTCCTTCTTTCTCTTTGCCCCACACCATGTAATGCATCATCGATTTACCACCATCACATCCAGCAAGAGGGATTGCTAATGGTTTGGCCTTGGCTTGACAAAGAGCTGCAAATGGGTCCTTCTCCAAAAGCGTATCGAGGTCGGGTGGAAAGCTTCATAGCCCTCGTAACTTGTGGATTCTTCATCCACCTCGACCTCGTCCTCATCTTGGACGCCACTTGCTCCTTCTACTTCATCTTCAACCTCCCTTCCTTCTTCTTCAATTTCCTCCCCTTGGTAACACTCAAGATCTTCCCCCTCTTTAATGCTTTCTTCCTCCTCTTCAACCTCTTCCTTCTCCTTCCCACTCGTGTCCCCAAGCACGTATTGTAGGGCAAGATGCCATGCAAGATCATAGAAGGGATTCTCTTGCTCCTCCACACTCGTGACTTGGTCTTCAAAGTTGCTTTCGGGAAGAGGAGGATGATGGGAGTCGTCAATGCAACCTTTTTGTTTGTTCTCACCATGGGAGCTCTCCGGGTAGAATTCCTCTTTCCATATGGTTGTCATTGATCGCCCTTTCAAGCTCCTCGTTATCATCCAATAATGAGAGGCGATAGCTTGCACAAGCACGTGCCACCTTCTCTTCTAATGTCAAACCGGGGGGAGGGAGGGGTTGGAAATCCGTGTTGGATCTTGTTCTTAAAAATCTCTCCACGATAAGATCCAACTTGGATTTCTCTCCGGGTTGTGGGAGATCCAAGCTCGGGCACCATTCGTTGGTGCCTCGAACAAACCGCTCCACCAAGAGCTCCAATTTGCTCTTTGGCTCCCGTTGCGGAGTGGCACATGATCTTGAGGAATGCCCCATTAAAGCCTCTATTGCCAACTCCAACTTGGATTTCTCATCAGTTTGTGGAGGGAAGTTTTCTTCGTATGGGGAAGCCTCTTGATACCCCCATTGGTATGGTTGTTCTTCTTGGAAGGAGGGTTGATAATAGAACCCAGATCCTTGGCTTCCCCCTTCTTGTTCACTCCATGAAGCTTCGGGGTACCCACTCTCAAGTGGTGGTAGATACCCCCACATGTCGGTGAAGTCGTAAGGATCCATGATTCATAACCTACACAAACAATAACACAAAAAACAAAATCAAACAAACACAAACCACCCTTCTAAGAGAAGAGTGGGTAAACAAAACACAAAACGAAAACAAAACGGCTAAAGTAACGACCTAACCCTTTTTCAAATAACCTAGAATGGGTCCCCGACAATGGCGTCAAAAACTTGACTCGTTCTAACTACAACATCCCGATCGGCGGTCAAGTATAACCGCCAACCGGGTGTAGCATAGGGCAAACAAGAATAAGAATTTATCATACCACAGGGATCTAGGCTTACCCTACTTCAAGTTTAGGGTTCGTTATCTAGCCAACCTAGGGTAATGATTGATAAAATTAAACTAACCTAGCTAACCACTAACTTAGCTATTTATAAGGTTGGGAGCTCTCTTGGGTTGATTCGTCCTAGGTCCGTTCTTTGGATCAATGTTGGGTATCCTCCTAGCTCGATCGACTCAAATACACTCCGTTTGGAGATGGAATCCCTCGAGCATGACCCGGAACGGCGGATCGGTGGATGGGTAGTTCTCTATTCAACCTAAGGTTTCGTAAAATGCTAGGAGACTGGTCGAATCAACTCCCTCGGGGACTACCCGAACAATATATGATAGGAGTGACCCGAAGATGCCAAAAGGAGGGCTATAAGGGGATTATCTCCCTCCTAGGTCAAAAGCTCAGTACATGAAAATGGAAACCCAATCATGCCATTCATGAAAACATCTATCAATTAAGTAAAATAATCACTTAATCATGGAGTTTGTCACATACATCAACATTAAACCCAAATCTAGACCTAGGGTTCTTAAACATAAGAGAAGAGGGTGAGTTTCTAGAGAAAGAGAGAGAATAGATTACAAAGAAACCTCTAGATCTTCATCTTCTTCTTCTAGGCTTGAGTCCTAGCTTCCAA